GTTCGCAAGCTCCGAGAAGCGGCGTCGAAGCGTTTCCGTGATACTCTTTAAAGGAAAGATTACAATTAATTTTTATTTTTTAAATTTATAAAACATGGATGGAATATATTGTTCATGGTGTGTACATTAATTTTTAAAGATTTCAACTTTTTTAAAACTCTTGTTTTCTTTAAAAAAAAAATTTTAGAGAAGAATCTCAGATGATTTTGCCATGAAATTTTTGTTTTAACTAATTAATACAGAAGAATCTAAGGAAAAATTAATTTAAATCGATATTTATTCGAAATAATCTCATACAAAAAAAAATCTTATAAATTTGTATCAATGATATAAGGGTTAAATATTCTAGAATACCTCTACTATATCATGAATATACATGTATATAGGGTATATTCTAGAATACCTCTACTATATCATGAATTTTCATATATATATTTATAGTTAGTCTATCCATGTTTGATTTGTGAGTTTTAGCGAATTTTAAAGATATTTCATTAAATTTCAATTATTCGGGTATGATGATAATTGCTTATAGCGCTGTAGTTACGGGGTAATAATGGGGAGAGTAGCCTACCCTAAGAAATTTTGGCCAACAGACTCTAAATTTTTCTAATTACTTTTTGTCCCCGAATAGACTAATACCACCCCCAGATTTTTAATTGACACCTCAGAACAACGGGTCTAGTTTGACAGTTTAATACTCCTCTTGATTGGACAATTCCTTAAAATGCCTTTAAAAAGTGATGCAGCAACAACGATTACTTTTTTAAATTTATAAATTATATTATAAGAATTCTAAGAGAATTCCGCGAATTCCGCGAATTTAAAACAAAGTTTATATTTAAAAAAAACAATTAAGAGATCGGTTTAATTGCATTGCTATATGGAATCATGAATAGCAATGCAATTATATTGATTGAATAGTTATCGTTAGTGGCTTGTTCAAAATAGAAGGTTTTCATTACGATCGCTACTTATTTGGCTTTAGTTTTCTCACTAATAATGTGATAAATTTACGGAATACCATACCAAAAATGTTAAAAGTATCGGTAAACAAGTGGAACAAAATATTATGCTAACGATGTTTATATGTGCTAGCGTCAATGTGTTTTCTTTCTTTCTTTCTTTCTTTCTTTCTTTCTTTCAACTTTATATCATTTTTTGAGCGCGTTTTTTTTAAATTTTGATTTTACCGGAAATGTATATTCCAGCATGTTTATAATAAACGTATCTTTTGAATTGTAGTTAATTTTTACGGATAACTTTTGAGTCATTTATAATTTATATAGCAGGAATCCTTTTCAGATGTTATTCTCGATGGTGGAATACTGAATTTATTTTTGTACTCATGCGTCTTGTCTCCAACACTTTTTATTTATTTTTATTATAGCTGAGGCCCTAAACCATCCCATCCTAGGATGAGGATAACTATTCTCCGTATTCCAAACATCACGGCATACATTTCCGGTTAAATCATATTTTTAAATTTTTTAAAAAATGCGCTCAAATAATGATTTAAAGTTGAAAAAAAATAACACATTGCAGGAAAAAACGCGTTGACGCTAACTTATAAATTTAAGGCTTTTTGTAGTGTTGTTAAACACGGCTCATTTTTAGCCGATTTTTAAAAACGGCTAACTCAGTATTTTAGCCAAAGAAATATTGCCTAAGGTTCCAGATTTCGCTAGAAGATGTCTAGTAGACCTTCGTGCCATCTACGAGCAAAATCTTCCGGCTTGAGTAATATTTTTCTGGATAAAATATTGAGTTATCCGTTTTTAAAAAGCGGCTCAAACCGAACGGTTTAACAACACTTGTTTTTTTTTAAATTATTTATCATATTTTATTTTTCATTTAAAATTGATAGATTACAAAAAAATATTTTAAATGGCTTTCTCTTATGCAAAATTTCGATATTCAAAAAGATGTCGCAGAAAAAGCTCAACTCCTATATATAAGTTTTTAAAAAAATATATATCCTATATAAGAATGAATGAAAAAATTCATATGTTTTTAGTAGAAAACTTTACCGGAAGCGAAATATGTTGCGAATTCGATAAAGAAAATTAGGTAAAGTAATCCTCTACGCGAGATTGATAAAAAGGGTATTGGTAAAAATTTCATTTATATATTTTATATTATAAATATAGCATTCTAGAAATCATGCTTTTATTGTGATTTTTTTTTTACTATATAGAAAATTATATATCTGACCAAAATATGAGGAGACATAAAGCCTATATCTGGCCTAAATATTAAATATTTTTTGGTTATATAATAGAAATATTTTTAAAAATAAAAAACAAATTATATATAATAAAAAAAAACAATATAATATATGTAAAAGTTCTTTTTAGTAATATCTATAGTTGTTAAACCGCTCAATTTTAGCCTATTTTTAAAAACGGCTAATTCAAAATTTTATCCAGATAATATTATGCAAGTCTAAAGATTTTTCTCATAGATAGCACATATGATTGAGCATCTATTGGCCAAATCTCGACTCTTAGGCAGGGGCCTTATTCTCATTCACTTCTTTTCATTGCCTTTAAAACGCCTTTAATGCAGAATTATAACTTTTTAAATATTGAAAGCATTTTAAATAGTGCTATAATAATGCACGAACCAAATCTAAAACATAGCAATGTAGAAAATAATTGTTATATATAATAGAATTATTGGAAAACACATTTGTATTTAATGAGAAAAAGTTAAGAACTTGATGGTGGGGTTGTATTGAGTTAGCTTAGCATAATTAAAGATAGTCAGCAAAAAGCTGGTGAATATAAGGTTAAGGATGAAGAAAAGCAATAATGGCGATGATGAACCCGATTAGGAATTGTAAATCAAGGTCTTAAGATTTAAAAAAAGAATTTGTAACATATGATACTTTGACATGACCAAACATTTTTTCAAATGATATTAGTTAATCTCGATTGTTATTTTTTATATTATTAATAGTTAATTAGTAAATTAAATGTCATCTCAATATACCTGTAAAAAATTATAAAAATTTGAAAAAATCGATATAAATATATATTTATAATTTTCCGATCCCCTCACTACTTCATGTAATAAAATTATACAATAAGTTTTTGCCCTATTTCGTTTAAAAATGTAATTAATTACCCCTCAATCAATTTAACCTATGCCCTTAGATGCCTATCTCCCCCCCCCATTATAAAGGTTTAGAAATGATCCTATCCCTACCCTATCGCTCTAGCCTCTGGCTTGAAGTCTGTTAATTATTTTTCAAACCAAAAGTTCGTTCAAATTCACTTAGGTAAAAGATAACATAGGAATATATTCGTAAATATAAATTGGTTTGTTAAAATTTATTATTAAAAGGAAGTCACTACACCGTTGATTATAATATACGAAGTTCTTGGTTAATTTTAACAAACCGTCTAGAATAGAAATGTTGGACTGCTGTTATTAAATTTTGAAAATTTTTTTAGTAAAATTGGTTCTAATTACTAATAACCCTTTCCTCGGGACTTTGTTTTACTACTAACTCTATAGATTAGTATTTCCGTTTCCATATATTTTAGGGTATCATCAAATTAATCTAATTTTATTCCTAATAAATACCATATTAGTAGCATTCATATGTTTAAACAAGGAAGTCTATGAACTCATAGAATATTTACTATCTGGAACTATTTTCCAAGCTGTTAAAATGTCATAATTTCTTGTTTAAAAATAATTTAATAGATCCAAATTATTTTAAAAATTTTAAAAAGATTTGAGCCGTTAATAATGTTTCAGATTGGCATATTTTTAATATACTTTAGATTCTAAAGTTTTTAATTGTCATACGTGTAATAGAAACTTATCGTGGTTGGTATTAACGAATCCGGTCATTAAACCCATTAGCTTTCTCATGCCGGTCAACCTTCTTGTTTTTGCTTGGTACACTAACCTTTTAATCCACATCTCAAACCTTTTATATGATATATTTTTTTAAAAAAAATTGAAATCTGTTAAGCATTGCAAAAGATCTTAAATTAGAGTTTTTTAAAAAAGAATTATTATAAAATTATTGTTTACTTTGTAGATCGTTTTTTAGAAATATTTACACAATATGATTATAATCTCTATCATGCCTTAATACACTGTTTTTAAACGGCTCATTTTGAGCCAATTTCTAAAAACGGCTAACTCAATACTTCATCCTTAAAAAAAAATTACCTAAGCCTGAAGATTTTGCTCATAGAAGGAACAAAGGTTTAGACATATATTATCAAAATCTTGAGACTTAAGCAATATTTTTGTGGCTAAAATATTGAGTTAGCCGTTTTTAAAAATCGGCTCAAAACGAGCCGTTTAACAACACTACCTTAATACATTGTCTTGAACCTGAATATTTTATATCAGACAAAATGACCACCAATAGAATCATTATCAAACTTAAAAATCGAAACGTTACATCATGAAATAAAAATAACAAAGGATTATTAGCTGCTAAAGAAATATAATTTTGAATATCATAATATTATGTATAAAAAATATATATCAGTGCATTTAAAGGAGTGTATAAATGCTATTCAGCAGCCATCATCATGTATTAGGGGCTTTTTGTCAGGTCTCATTCTCTCCACTAAAGAGTGTTCTATAAATCACTAGAGAATCGACAAACGACCTAAACAAAATTTAATTTCTATTGGTTATAGAAAATAAAATAATAATATAGCTTTTAATTTATTTATATTAAAATTTAAACATAAAAATTGCTGAATTTTTGAATGCCTAACAAAAAATATTGCCACCCCCCCCCCCTCCTCACCTGGAAATTTCTGTCTTCGGCCCTGCTGATGATATGGTATATTTATTTTATTGAGATCGTTTATTTTACAAAAAAAAATGTAAGTCACTAGAATATTCGATTAAAATCATCAGTAATATTATTAATATTATAAAGACAGTGGACAAAGTAGTTTAGCAAAACTCCAGTCTTTTCAAAAATTATCTATTTTTTATGTGGATAGCTTTAAAAAATATCATATGATTTTTAAAAATAAAAATTTCTTCAAATTTTCAAAACGATATATAGTTAAGACTAGCTCAAAAACTTGTGAATTAAATAGAATTGATGATAGTAAATATAAAATAATTAAAATTTTATATTTTTAGGCATATTTTGCATATCATTAAAAAGAGTTGAGGGTAGGAATGCCTTAAATAAAGAAATGATTGATTCAGTATTATTTAAATGTATGATTATTAATTTATTTTAGTTACATACATACATAAAAGAAATAAATCTTAAAAATGATGTTCATTTGCTGTTATTACGGAGTACTGTACCTAATATATTTTGTGCAGGTAATTTAATCATAAATTTCAGATTTATTTTTTGTATATAAATTTTTTAATATCTTATATGAATATGAATAATTATTTTTAATTCTGTTGGGTTTTTCCCTTGTTACTAAATTGACCATTTCAAAAGTAAAAAATGCATTTTGAAAGTGCACAAATTTATTTTTTATGGTAAGCATTAAAAATAATTTATAAAAATGCAAACTAGTTTGCCTTTTTATATTTTTTATCATTTTCCATCAAAATTTGAAAATGGTTACAAAATTGTAAATGTAATATTTTAGTATATGGGGTGACAAAATTATATTAAAATTTAAAATCACATTTCAATATAAAAAAATAGGATGCATTATATTTTCTATAATTAAAAATGCACTGCAAGTGAATATACTCTGTTCACACTTTTATCTACTAATATACTTGTTTTTCTGTTTTAATTTATTTATAATAAATATTAAATCCCTTTAAAATCAATTGGTAATTTACATTAAGCATTTTTATTATTTTATTAATTTTTATATTAGTTATATATATTTTTTTTTTGTGGTGAAACCCAAATTTTAATGTATTGTGGATTAATTATCATTTAGAGTAATATTTATCAAAAATAACTGAAACTGGGCTAGGTGGATTTCAAAAATAAAATAAAATGATATCAATTAATCAATTGGGTTTTAATATTCATTTACTGCTTAAATTTTCAATTTCCTTTCAAACCAAAATACCTAATTCAGCCAAGATTATAAAATAACAAAATTTTAACATTTTCAGGCCAGATCCTTTAATGATCAAAAATATTTAAAAAAATCTGTACTGCATTAGACCAAAAAAAAACCCCAAATAAACGTGACTTTTCAAATCTAAGCTGGGCCTAAAATATCTCTGCAAGCCATGTCATATCCACTTATCTTATAGAATATAGTAGATATGTGTCATTTTGATTATGCTGGAAATCAGATTCTGTGAACTGATCTTCTTAAACTGAATCTCATTATAAACACTTGATATTCTTTGGAATTATATTTAAAAAAATATTCTCAAGCAGACTACAATGCAAACTACAATTGGATAATTCTTCTACCTTAAATAAGACTTTTTGAGATTAACCTTCAATATGATGCCAATAGGGGTGAATAATATGATGCCAATAGGGGTGAATGGAATACCTATGCAGTGTTGTTAAAATAGTGTGCACTAATTTTTTCAGTAGCTGAAGCTTTGGTGTGTTAATTTTTTGAAAAATAGCGATAGCAGTAGCTTGCTACTTCCACTACCTTTAATTCTTTATAATTAATTTCACATGAAAATTATTTAAATATTTATAATTAAAATTTTTAAATTTGCTTCTATGAGCGATTTTAATGAAAGAGATAAAAATTTTATTTATAAAATATAATACAACTTTACCATCTAGTGCCCCAGTAGAGCGCGTTTTTAGCATAGCGTATTATTGGAGAATTTCCGTAACATTTTATAATTTATTTTTGTTGATATAAAATGGTTTTTGATAAAATTTATATTTTTATATCTATATAAATTATTTCCAGTGAAAAGTATTAATTGTTTATACCATTATATAAACCTATTATTTATATATTATTAACAAAAAAGAGTACATTTCTTAACTTACTGGTGCAAAAAGTCAATTTTCCATCTTAAAATGTAATTAAAAAACACCCATTAGATGGCGTTAAATATTTAAAAAAGTTATCGTGTAAATTCATAATACATTCTTTCTATAACATAAAAAATGACTTCTTTTTTTCACTTCTATTATCATAAGTAAAAGGAAAATATTTTCTTTCTTTAATTGATGAATTTCATCTTTGAATGAAGAATAAATCAAAATCTATTCAATAATAAGGATAAAATTTACCAACTTATAACTTCGTTCAAGTTCGACCAACGAATTTAGTATTAATGTTATTAAGGGTAAGTGTCCAAGTTGCATGACTATAACATTATTAGCCAATTTTCGTGATACCAAATTTCGGATTTCATATTTTAACTGAACAGATATGAGTTAATATGAATTTCTTTTTTAAAATTGCTTGGGACATATACGAACATGATTAGTTTCACTAAATTCCTAACTAAATTAATCTAGCTGGGGGCGAGGGATTAGATCTAAGCTCTCTACTTGTATAAAAGTTTTGTAAAAAATAATAATATCCATCTTTCAAATGTCGGTCCAGTTCGGTATTTGCTCTGTTTTTAGACCTCGAATTTCTTTATCCTTAAGCTCTTTTTTTTGTTGAATAGATAGCTCAATCTGTTTTTTTTACAACACACACCTCTCAATGCTTAGCGGATTTTCTTCGACACATGTCCGTTAATTCAGCCAAATTAACCGGTTTCTCCACCTTATACTAGTATGTTGTTCATCGGTGCAACACGCCCATCTCTCGGGGAAAGCGAAACTGCTGCTGTCGCCTTTCCCCTAAAATCTGATAGTTTTAATTATGATGTAACTTTATCACGTTATAACCCACAAAACTGCTTTTTAACAATTTTTAAAAATGCATGTTTAAAAAAAGGATGATTTTTAAAAAAAAATATATTCTTGAAATTTAAAAATAATAATTTTTGAGCTCCCTTGAGGATTGTAAAGGTTAGCGATACCACTGATAATATGACTTTATGATTGAAAATTTTTTTAAAAATTTAATAACAAGATCATACCAAATAATTAATTAACATTTCATGGAGACCTGCAGTGGTACCATTGGCACGGCACGGCCCGGCCCGGATTTTTTTTCAAAAATTTTTTTCGGGCCGGGTATATTTAATAAAATTAAAATCCGGCCCGTGTAACCGGGTGGGGTTTAGGATCGGCATTTCAATTAAATAGATATTTTAGTTTTAAAAAAAATTTTATTTATCGTGATTTTACATGGACATTTTGACACTCTTTATCTAAACAAATATTCCTATATATATTTTTTTTTATTTTAATTTATTTAATATTAAATATTCAAAATTTTATTTTTATAATGGATGCATTATCATTCATTAGCCATGAGATCAACTTCATTAATGTTTATGGCATATCATTCAATGAGAATACAAGTTAGGAGTATATTAGATAGGAGCTCATGTTAGCCAATCACATTTTTTTCGCCCACCTAACCTATCGAGGGTTAAAATTTTTTTGTACATTGGGATGCGGGATTGATGGAATTTTTAAATTCGATGAATTCCAATTTTAGCGTATGTGAATTTTGATACCAAAATATTCCAATATACTTAATTTATATCGCGATGCCGGTAATGTACATAATCATGTACAATGACATGTAATAATACCCAGACTGACGGTGCATTCATAATAATACATTTCAAAGCGTCGTTGAATGCATATCAGCTGGACCCGCCATTTTGGTAACCCATATGGTAATTATTCTCGTGTTTAATAAAAACTTTTAAATTGATAACTTGCTTCATTAATATCTCGATGATCAGGCAATTCTTCAATAGAGTTTTGCGTCAAACTTAGGAATAAATTGACCTCTAGTTTAAAATTTTTAATGACGATATGGGTAACCAAAATGGCGTCCCCAGCTGTTTTTATTGATGTACACTTTTAATGAACGCATCGTCAGTCTAGGTATTATATGTCATCGAATCATGAAATACGTGCGCATTGCCTGTTTAATATTTCAGTCCGTACAGTTTTATCATATTAATTAAAATTAACTTTTGATAAGTTTTCTTACACTACACATCAAAGACGCTGCGGAGATACCATTTGTACGGTTCTCCCGCGATTTTTTCTATCCGGCTAGTATTTTTAACAAAAAAATTTTTAGGCCCGGTAAGGGTATTTTTAAATAATTAAAATATGGCCCAGTTCGTGTATCCGGGATTAGGGCCGGGCATTCAGGTCTCTGATACATCTTCTGGAAAACATTTTCAGCAAAATCGGATATTTATTTAGATGATCTCCAAACTTTAAACCACTTATTTTAGCTCATTTGATAAGAGGCGATTTTGGCAGAAATCTGTATTCCAAGATCTCTGTAGATATGCCTAGAATTTCAGACGATTTCATAAAGTTTATAGACTAAGAATTTTCTCAGATCCTGAAATCGGATTCCTTAAATCAAAAATTGCCGTCAAGCAAGTGATTCGAAATTGAAGTGATTTCGAAATGCTATACGCACAAATATATATATATAAGGTCTTTTCACATTACTCCCTGGCTCACATTTTCTGTTATGATATATTGATAGGTGCCGATCTTAAAGAGAGAGCTAAAATGCCTCTCGATTCGATTGCTTCCCATGTTAGACGTTTGAGGGATTTATTTCACGCTCTTTCCAAACTTCCTATACCTACTATAGCTGCTATAGACGGGACGGCATTGGGAGGCGGCTTGGAAATGTGCCTAGCATGCGATATTAGGATAGCCAGTGTGTATTTAAATCATTATATTTCGTTACAAATTAAAGTTCTGATTCTTAAAATTTCGTCAAAAAATTTGCACTGAATGATGGCTAAAAGAATTATCAACATTTAATAGGGTTAATTATCATTTTCGATAACCGGACCCATATCGGTTAATTGAAAATATTAACCGATATCTTAAGTATCCGCCAGATACCGATATCGTAGGAATCTGCCGGATACCGTTAAATATCGGTATTGGTGCATCTCTTGCTCTAGATACTGATATTTAATCAGCTGTGACTATTTTAAGTATCCTCATACGCGCTGATTCCTTTCGATTCACTTCTTTCTACGATCCCTATTTAAAACACATTGTAGGTTAAAGTGGTTGCTGGGACAAAAATCTTTAAATTAAAAAACAAATATAATTAACAAAATACAAAACAATTTTCTTAAAAAAAAATACATCTTTTTGTTTAAGTAAATATTTTGTAATTCTTCAAAAAAAAAGTATTAATTACATTATAGTTTGCTTAGCTACCACCAATGTTGTTAAACGGCTCGCTCGTTCTGAGCCGATTTTTAAAAACGGCTAACTCAATATTTTAGCCAGAAAAATATTGACTAAGCATCGAAATTTCGATACTATATGTCTAGGCCTTTGCTCCTTCTATGAACAAAATTTCCAGGCTTGCATAATATTTTTCTGGATAAAAAACTGAGTTAGCCGTTTTTAACAACACTAGCTACCACCACTAACAAACACTAGTATTAGTTTAAGAATATATTTTTAAAAAAAATAATGGTTATCTTTTCTAATCATAAATTTTATATTAAATAGAATTAATTTTTATGCACGATTTAAATTTAATATTTTTTTAAAAAAAAATATATATTAATTTAGCGGCACAAGCTAAGATGGGTTTAGTTGAAGCCAAGTTGGGAATAATCCCTGGTGCAGGTATAGCATCCTTTTTTTAAAAAAATATAACATTTTGCACAATAATTTTGTTGTTAGAGAAAGGGGGTAACAAATTTTGTATCTGGGTCTCAATTTTGTATTTTTTTAAAAAAACGCGATACTAAGTGATTAGTGTTGTTAAATAGCAGAGACCTGCAGGCCCTTGTCGTAACCTTTTCTACCCATGTGGCGGGTGGGCATGATTCACTCAGGAAAAAGTGTAATTAATATATAATTATTCCCATATTTCTGTGATAATTTTACGTATCTACTCTAATTCCTTTTCTGGGAACGGTAATTAATTACATGAGAAGATCCCGATTTTAAAGAGTAATTATAATTACAATTCCTTTTCCATTTTAAAATATTATTTTAAAAAAATGAGTAAATATTTTATTCTTTATTTTATTACAATTCGTTATTTTTTTATCCGGGACCTTGAAAGAATATATTCTTGTTTCGTTTCATCCAGAAATTGTGTTCCATGTTGCTGAACGTAAATTCATACGTGTTTTTTTAATTAAGACTTTCTTTAAAAGATTATCATTTTATATTTGAGCGATTGCTATAAATATTGGGATAGAAAAAATAAATAGATAATCATAAAAATTATATATTTTTTAATTGTAATTTTTTTATTGTCAATTTTGCTTTATGGCTGTGCTCACCCAAAATATCGAAAACTTTTGAAAATTAATCAAGTAAATAAGTTTTTTTTAACACAAAAAAGTATATGTCCAAAATGTAATTTTGGGAAAATTTAAAAATTTAACATTACTATTTCCAGTAAAATTTTAAAACTTCTAAAAATTATAAAACTTTTAAAAAAATGATTTTGGACATAGCTAGAGAAATTGGAACCAAATAACATTTTCAAAAGAGAAGTGTAGTGTTGTTTAATTTAAAAATTTAACATTACTATTTCCAGTAAAATTTTAAAACTTCTAAAAACTATAAAACTTTTAAAAAAATGCTTTTGGACATAGCCTAGAGAAATTGGAACCAAATAACATTTTCAAAAGAGAAGTGTAGTGTTGTTTGATCACCCAAATTTGGTCATCTTCAGAACGGCAAGCCAAGTTTTTCCTGAAAAGAATTTTCTCAAGTTGAGAATCTCAATTTTCTTGGCTAAGCTATATTAAAGAAAGTGAGTACGATTAGGCGATTTGACAAACACTACACTACCATTGGGCAGGCCCAAATTTTTTTTTTAACTTTCTAATAAAAACAATTTATTACTCTTCCTTCATAAATGTACAAGCTTGTTCGGGTTAAAATAATCTCGAACCGGGCATGGGCCGAAAATAACCTTAAGAGCAGTGGCGTAGCTAAGAATTTTTCTTAGAGGGGGTCCATACATATAAAATCGTGGTTTCGCCCCCAGACCCCTTTTAACTGCCCTTCGGCCGGGTTTATCTTAAAAATCATAACCACATCTTCGACAATATATAATAAATATATTTTTTAAATGCATGAATAATATGTTATTATAATTTAGTAGATTATTCTCAAATGACTTTATGATAATACTACCAAGAATGATTTCAATATTATAATATCCTTCCACATACATCAAAACCAGAAAAATATAAATATTAATGGTATTTATTTGATATAAAGTCACTTTTAAGTCTTTTGAACGTATAATCTAAAAAAAAATTTTGCTCTGGGAGGGGTCCAAACCCGAAAACCACCCCCGAGGCTACGCCACTGCTTAAGAGTATTCTAGTTTTGGTCATGCTGATCTGTGATACGGATACCCCCGAGATGACATCATTTGCGCATAAAAAAAAAATATCAAATATCAGATAAGATTTACGGTGCCATCTGATGGAGGATATATTCTCTTAATAAATATATTATATATAAAATCATAACCTAAAAAATAATCCTAAACATTTTCTCGTAAACGCCAGGCGGTACTCAAAGATTACCTCGTTTGATAGGAGTCGCCAAGGCCAAAGAGTTAATATTTAAGGGGTCAGTTATATCGGGAGCCGAAGCACTTAAATTGGGTTTGGTTAACGAAATCGTTGACGGAACGGACCATTCGCCGAACTCAAACGACCCCGAAAATGGCGACGATAGATTTCCAGCCTTTAACAGGGCTCTACAACTAGCCAAGCAAATGATAAACCAATGCGTAAATTTAAATTCTTTATTAAAATAAAAATATTATTCCGAATGTTTAGTCACCATTAAGCTTGAGATGCGCCAAACAAGCGATCGATGAAGGATATGAAGTATACTCTTTTATTGAAATTTATTTCCGTTCCAACTAAATATTGTTTATGGTAAATCTATTCTTAGGATTATCTGATTTTAATTATCAATAAATCTCAGAGTTTGGAATTTGGATGAGAAGGGGTTCTCATATTGGCTCCTAAATTTTACGTGCTTAGAATTATAACATATCGCAAACACATAATTTTGATGTATTAGCTAACAAGCATAGGAGACAATTTTTAATAAAAATATTTTCTTCCATCTAATATATTAGTTAAATAAGATGTAGGGGACATGGAGGCTCTTCCAGATACTCTGCCAAAAGTATCTTGTAAACATCATAATAACTTGGTGGAACTGGAATCGGTATATTCTAGTTCCATGCCATCTCTTCAGAAATATATATTTCTCCAGTTGCATTTATCAGTAACGAACGATGTTCATTTTAATAAAATAAGATGTAGAGGATATGGGAGCTCTTCCAGATACTTTGTCCTAAAGGCATCCTATAAGCATCATAATAATTCGTTGGAACTGGAATCGATATCTTCTAGTTCCATGCCATCTCTTCAGAAATATATATTTCTTCAGTTACATTATCAGTAATGATGAACGTATGAACCAGATAAGATCTTGATTCTATTCTCTAACAAGAAACATAAAATATTTAAGGTATTAAATTGTGGATTTTTACATTTTATAATTCAATTTTTTTAATATAATCTTTAAAAAAATTTATAAATACTATTTATTTCAAATCATAATACGAGATATTTTTTTAATTTTAAATACAAATACTCTGTAAATTATTGAAATATAAATAAAAATTAATTTGTATTTTAAATGCAACCCTACCACTAAGGCATCATATAATTTTATTTTTTCGTTATTTGTAACTTATATCAAATTTTGTGAGATATTATTTTAAAAAAATGCTAAGAATGAGTATTTTATACATTCTAAATGTTTATTACAGTGATATAAACCTTACTTCTATGTTACTGTACAAAAAAAAGGAAGGTACTTTCTCTTCACTACTTTACTGTTTATTTTTTGCCAGATATTATGTATAAAATTCAGTTGTTGTAAAACGGCTCAGGCTAATATTTTAGCCAGAAAAATATTGCCTAGATAATATATGTCTATACCTTTGTTCCTTCTAAGAATAAAATCTTCAGGCTTGGGTAATATTTTTCTGGGTGAATTAAGTTAGCCGTTTTTTTAAATCGGCTCAAAACGAGCCGTTTAACAACACTAATAAAATGGTATAAAAATACAAAATTTGAAATAAATAAATATGTAAGAAAATTCAAAATTTGCTTAATAATAATATTGTATTCTTATTTTATTTTTTATTTATGTATTTTAATAGGAGAATTATTATATAATTTATTAAGTTAAAACACTAAAAAAAAAGCTTATCTTTTTAAATTACAAAAAACCTTATTGTCATTTTCTTTTAAAATCAATAGTGTGGAACGCTTTTATTATGCATTTAGTGAATGAATTGCCAAACTAAAGTTATATGTATATGTCATTGCGTGTGACATGGATTTAGTAAAAATAACTATATATAAATATAGTGCCATTATTATCTATAAAAAGTAAATAATATTTTTAAAGAATACAAGGCGGGGCCTGAAAATACAAAACACGGGGTAGACTCGACCTGAAGAATTATGATAGGTATGAGGTTGGCGCAATTCTCAACATATCCACCTTTTTCTAATGTTATGCGTGATCCCTAAGTATTTAGGTTGCCTCTCGACTCTGCGAGACATTCTCTTACACTACCTCTCTCCGACTTCTAATTTCGTTCCTTTAACAAGTTATAACTTATTGTCTTTCAAGCCCCTTCACTGTCTATTGTATATTTCACCGGGGTTTTTTTCAATCATCCTGACCCACTCCCCCCCCCCTCTTTCCAATTTTGTAATGACGTTGGTTTCAGATTCATACCAATACGAAGCGCAGAATAGATTTCAATTTATTAAAAAAATAATAGTTTTGTATTCATTTTATATATGTTTATATAAATACTTTAAATCGAATATTTTTATTAACTATTTTAATTACTCCAATTTAATCGAATATTTTTAATTAAAAGGCAAGCAGTTGTATTTTTTGGCTTGCTCTAGAAGCTGATAAGCAATGTAAATACTTGGCTGATTCACCTCTGTTTGCAGAACGCTCTTTCGTTGGATAAAAATTCTTCCCCATTGTCTGAAGCTAAGATTTCAGAATTCCTTTTTGCAAATATTTTTGTTGCTTTTTCTATTGCCACCTTTATCATTATCCTTTCTATTTTGACCTACTGAGTCTGAGTGAACTTGAAGCTGATACATTTCTTTCGATTCCAGATTCAGTAAAATTCCTGAATTCCACATTTGCCACAACCATTAATTATATGAACATTTAGGTGGCATAATTATAATATATAGTGCTGTAAATAAATAATAGTAGAATTGGAAAATGATTATGCTTATTGGCCAGAAATAGAAAATCAAAGAAAAAACTGTGCTGAGTTTAGTGTTGTTAAAAAGCTCGATTCGAGTCAATTTTTTAAAAATGGCCCGATTAAGGTTGTAACTAAAGTAATATTATGCAAGCCTTGAGATTTTTCTCATAGCTGGCAGAAAGGTCTGGACATCTATTTGTCTGAATCTTGAGGTTTATATAATATTATTTTGGCTAAGATTTTAATCAGGCCATTTTTAATAATCGACCCAAATTGGACTTTTTAACAATACTAGCTGAGTCTAATGAAAATGTGATGGGACCAAGGAAATCTCTTTTGGCAAGTTATATGGACATTATGGGTCCTATGCAAATTAGCTTATCAACTTTTCTATTGTAAACAAATTAAACAATTAAAATTTAATGATTTCTTGTCCATATTTTAGCCATGTTAAAAATTTTATAGGGTGGAATAAAATATTATTTATATTTTACTATCCAACATTTTAGACACAGTATAAATTTCATATAAAAATGCTAATATTTGGATTTGCTAGATGATACTTTATTTTAAAATATGATATATGCACTATTGAATTAAAAATATATATTAAAAAATTAAATTTAAATAGATAATAATTTTTATTTAAGTGTTTTTGTTTTAAAAATATATATTGATTTTTTAAAATTATATATGGATATTGTAAGAATATTTTATTATGATAAAAATGTTTTTAAATGATATAAAATTTAAACAATTTTGAGATAATTCCTCTGAAGAAATAAATCTTAGAATTTGATATCATTTATTTGCAATTTATCTTTCAGTGAAACAATCAACCTATATTTATATTGTCTGTTGGTTGGTTTATACATATCCTTTGTACGTTTGTTAGTTCACACACAGTTTTTATATCATTTGTGGGAAAGTGATGATGGTATTAATTTTTTTGTGACCTAAAGGATTTCTTGGCCTCTTCTACAATTTTATGGCTTATTTGTGCAGAATGAATAGATAAAAAAATCATAAAAAGTAATTTGTATCTGATACTTTTATTTAGCAAATGATTCTATATCTTTAGCTTTTTTATATTTTAAATAAAATATTTGTCCTCTAGGTAAACCCCCCCCCCCCAAGAGCTAGAACAAAAATTACTTTTAATTTTATTATTATACTAACATAAAATACAACTGTTCTAGGTGTTTATTATGTAACAGAAGATAATAATTTATTGCTTTAATTGAACTTTATTTTCAAATGATTAACCTAAACAATTAATTTATTCCTCATCAAAAATATGTTTTGTTATCAAATATGGATGAAAAATTTAAGTCTATAAAATTATAGATTTTAATGTTTATAATCTTATGCCCAATTTATACTGTAATGTTAACATTAAATATAATTTAATTTTCCATTTTATATTTGTTTTTAGTTTAATTCATATGAAAAGAAAAATATTATAGATAAATGGTATTTAAGATTTATTAAAACATCAAGATAATAAAATATCTTGAAACATATATAATATTTTTTGAAGGCAGAGCAAGGAATACAAATATTTTAAAAATTAAAATATAATAATTTTTAGGGTCAACCAATGCCTATTCCTGCAGGTGCCTGTGGTTCCTGAATTTATACCAGTTCCAAACTCTAATAAATTATCATTTAACTGATATAATAATAGGAATCACAAAACTAATTTTAATTTTTTTTTTCCCAGATATCAATACAAGAGGGATTAAATGTTGAAGATAAAGAATATGAAAAAGTTTATAACTAATATGTATTAAATAAATCTTTTATTATTACAGGTTGTGAATTCAAATGACAGAATTGAAGGTCTAAAAGCATTTTTAGAAAAAAGGCAACCAATATACAAAGGAATTTGATATATTCAATTACACATAATTTCTAAATTCAATGATGACTCAAAGAAGTTTTTGGTGGTGCATCTATAGTTTTCTTCTTTTTTCCTGAAAATAAATAAACGAATAGCATAGTCCAGCCAGTCAAAGAAGCAATTGCCACCTTATTTATTATAATTTAATTATAAATAAATATTATCTTACATTTTGTCTTCCTCTCCTTGTTATTGTATTAAAATATCTAGAAAATCCTTTTAAATTAGGATCATCAACTAATCCACCACCACCTCCCATTTTTTTATTATTATAAAAATGATATGGTTATTAGAAAAAATGGTATACTGGTCTTTAACCCAAAAATCTTAAAATTGGATAACTTTCGAGATTTTTAGTTTTTTTTTTGCTTTTAATTTTTATGATTAATTAATTAGTCATATTTCTAATTTAATTCTAAAATATTTATTATTTGTAAATCTATATCTTAGATATTTTTTTTTAATATATATTATACTAATAAAAATGCGCATATATTAGATAATCCATACCCTTATATATTGGCTTATTTGTAAATTATTGATTATATAATTAATTTTTTTTAACAGGCGTTTTTTCATAAATGTTTAAAAGTGTACCGCTCAATTACGTATGCCACTGGTGCATCCAAAGTAATCAGCTATAACGTCATTTATGGTTTGCACGTCGATTAAATGAGCGTCTACATGAGCGGGAGGGGTAGGAACAGTTTGCATCCTATTTTTAGGGGGTATGGGGTAAGCTTCTTTAATGGGAATAGGATAAATTTTTTGGGGGGGTTAGCTATTAAATTTTGAGATGAAATAGGACAAAATTTATTGCTGTAAAAATTAATACTTTTATTACAGTATTATTATAATACAATTCATCGACCAAATCTATATATTGCAAACAATCATACACATTGTTTTCCAAATAAACTATCCTTTTAAATTATTTAAAAGGTTTATATATTTCAGCAAGCTCATAATGCCATAATAATTAATTCATAATAATGGAGGTTTTAATTGAATTTATTATCTAAAAAATAAATTCTTTATATTCACAAAATATCGATAGTTGGTAGTAGAAATAGATTAATTTAAGTTATTCTTTATATATTCTTTGAAAAGGGTATCAATAAATAAATAGGTAAAAATATTGATAAAAAGACACCGCCGCCGAAGGCGGCGTTAATTTTTTATGGAGGTAGGCAAAGGTTTTTGAAGGGGGTTTGCATCCAATGATAATCCTGTCATGTAGACGCTGTCTATAAGGAAATTAGTATATGTGCAAACCACAAAATGGCGTTGCAGTTGACTCCTATACATGTACATTTTTAATTAATTAAAATCAGTACATAAATATCATTGGCTTTGATAGAGATAAGTTTGCCCAGGTCTATAATAAAGACGAGGATTAAAAAGCCAAGCTTATTTAGAAAAGGCTTACTATGAAAATAATATAATATCAGCAATTTAAATGTTATTTACTCAATGCTCAGACTGCAAAATAACGCCTAGTAGTAGTGTTGTTAAATGGTTGTTTTTTTTCAAACCAGAGGTAGAAACCCAACCCTAAGTCAGGGTCGAAAAATTGACCACGACCCAACTTAATCTATAGGGCCTGTTGAGCCTGGGTAGGTTTGCTGTCAGCTTGCTGGATCAACAAAAATATAGAAAATTAAACTAGTTTGTTTCAATTCGTATTGAAATTTTTTCATATTAGAAAGCTGTTCTAAAATCTTTGTCTAGAAATAAATCGGCACCTCATTATATTGCGTTTCAAAAAATAAAAAATTTTAAACTTTGTTATCAACTTAGTTAAAAGTTTGTAATACTATACTAGAAATGTGTTCTAAAACTTTTAGGCCTATTAAAAAATTAGCACTGCTATTATATTTTATTCCATGAGGGTAAAAAGAAGTTCTAAAACCTCTGGGTCTAGTGATAAATAGTACCTTTATCTTGTATTCTACAAGGAAGAAAGGAAATTTTTTAAAACTTTGTTTTAAACTTAGTTAAAAGTTTTTGATTCTAAAACTTTTGGGTCTAGTAATAAATCGACATGCCTTATATTTTACCCCACAAGGAAAAATATTGTTAAAAATTTGTTTTTATCTTAGTTAAAAGTTTTTAATGTTAGAAATATGTTTTAAACTTTTATGTTTATAAATTCCTAATTTCAATTTCTTTAACTCTACACGTAAAATGTAGAAATATAAAAAAAATATTTATTTACATCTAGAGCCCAGTTAAAGGTTTTTGATATTAAAAATATTTCCTAAAACCATTGATCTAGGACTAAGGTTTAAATGCCAATATATTTTGGTCCAGACACTGGGAAAATAAAATAAATATTCCGTAAGATATGCCTAGCATTAATATTTATTTATTTTTAGTAAAATAATTTATTTTATTTATATTTAAATATTTTATTATTATCAACAAAAAACATGATATGATTTAATATTTTTTATTTATATTATGAATAGGAATGAAATATGATTATATTATGAATTAATTTATTTGTTTTTTTAATAAAGAAAATTGATATGCTGTTATTGTAATATTATTTTTGTTACAATTTATTAGTGATTTTCAAGTAAAATTTATAACAAAAAATTTTTTTGAAATTAAAAAAGATTTTTGAACATATTGATTTGATAAGAATTTTAAATCTTTTTTGTGGAGTTGTTTTGTGATCTTTTATATTTTTTTATAATCATTTTTTTTTAATTATCTATTTTTTAAGTATATTAAAAGAGGTGGTTTTATCTAAGTAATTTTTATTTAAATATTTATATTAAGCTTTTCTATGTTATTTTATGTTTTTTGACACTAATGAGAAAAAATATGTATTTTTAACATGTTAAAATAAAAAATAGGTGGAACTATACGAGGGTTTGATTTACATTTTAGACATAAAGAATCAAAATTAAGAAGAGCCATCTGAGGAACCTGTTTCTATGGCTCTATGGATTTAAGAGAGGGCAGAAAAAAATGCATTTTGGATATGACACTCATACCATAACTATTATAATATTAAAAGTTAAATGGTATTAACTAATTTCATTTTGTAAGCCACTTATTATATGAATCCTGCAAGACAAGCTTAGATAAAAGATATAAAGTTGAAATATTGTTTACAATTTAAATTTAAATTATATTTTATTTATATAGTTGCGAACATGAATATATATTGTTAGCAATAATTCACCCACTATTTAAATCAGATTGGTCCTTATAAAATTAGATGTCAACGAAAGGAAGCTAGAACTTATTTCCTTTTTGAGAAAAGATCTTGACAAAAAAAAGGCAGACTTGATTCCTTTATAAAACAACACACTTACAGATGTTTCCGATAAAGATAAAAAAAATTAGATGAGGAACTCTGAATGAAGATTAACCAAGCTTTTTTATCAAAATACAGATTATTCTTTAATTTTTACAAATTCCCTAAATTGAAATCTTTATTTAGCGCAAACGGGGAACAATAAATATATTGCCGGTAGATTTGTTTAAAGGAAAACAGCATATTCATTATTAATTTTACCACAAAAGTTCCGAAAATCATAAACCAGTTCATAACACCGCCACCCCCCCCCCTACATGATCTTCCTCACGATTTGAAGTAATGGAGATGATTAACAAAACAGTGGAAATATTTTATTTTTATTTTAGATTAATGTCGAGAAATTATTTTATCATTTTTATCCCCCCCCCCTTCCTCTCCAAAATTTAGCATAGAAACATTGAGATGAATAACAATGTTAACATACTTTATTAGCTCTCATTTGATACCCATGTGGAAATATTTGCTAAAAATATTTTACCCTTCCCGTCCTCGCAACCATACTCATACTTGAAACTAAGTGACTAACAGTGAATTAAATATAAATTTTTTAAATTAACTTTCATTTAATACTCTTAAGTTTCAAAGTAAGTCTCCTACCCGCTTATTAATAAGCTAGATTAAAGAACCTAGAGGGACATTATTTGGTTTGATGTCCTACTCTGATATTTATTTGTAAAAAAAATTTTGGTACGAGATCCAGGATAGGGTGATGGATAATTTTAATATTACTCAAAATCATTTTTTTGGTTTCCATTTGATACCCTTGTCTAAACATAACAACTAGAAGATATAAAGTAATGATTAATTTTAAAACTCATAAAATCATGTTTATGCACTTAAAATTAAATATAATAGTAAAATTTTATGAGTGATCTAATTATATTTTTTAAGAATTCTATTCTGACAAAATTAAAATTTTTACTTAGCAAATTCATTTTTTGGGAATTCAATGAAATTACTTTAAGTAGTTTTAATTCTGAGTAATTAAAAAGGAAAACATAATATACTTTGAAGAACTAACTTACACATATTGTAATTATATATCAGCTTTAGCTTCATAATGCTTGCCAAAGTTTAGCAATCTTTATGCTTATGGCTGAATCTTAATATTAGATTCAGATTCCTATCAAATTTTTTGAAAATATAACTAATATTTTATTTCTAAGAAAATAATAAATATATAAATATCGTAAAATCATAAAATTTAAAAAATATTTTGACTATGGGAAAATCCCTTATTTCACATATACGTAATTTATTTTTAAATCGCCATTTAAAATTCGATAAAGTCTAATGAGTAATTGTATATTTTTTATTTAGCTTATAACTCTGTATTTTGTTAGTGAATGAATAAACTGATTGATAAATTTATAAATATTAAATACAGATGAAAAATATTGTCGAAACCTATATAAATTTCGCCAGTAAAGATCTAGATTTGCCTAATGAACTAAATGATTACTGTATTAATAAAGCCTGAGCTCTTTGTCATGCTTCTTGATAAGACTTCGAGGAATAGTTAATTGGTCCATGATATCAAGCATTGTATAATAATAGATAAAAAAAATATTAATTACAGCAATAATACATCGAAAAAGTAATGTCATTACTAACGGGGTTTACTTTTTTAAAAAAAGGGAGGCCATTCGTCAGCTTCTACATGACAGGATTTTCACTGGATGCAAACCCCTTTCAAAAATCAACGCTTAACCCCCCCCCCCCCCAAAAAAAAAAATCTTATTCCCTTCGGCGACGATATTTCCATATTATTACTTACTTTTTAATTATAACGGTACTCCCTTCTTATTTTAAAAAGAATAACTTAAATTATTTTAGTTATTTTTTAAATTATGAATTCAATTAAAATCCCCCTCATTTACAATGAGTGTATTATTATAGTATATTGTTTGGCATGAATATGAGATAGCTGAAAATGTCTAACCCTTTTAAATTACAAAAATGGATAGCAGAAAGTTTTATTTGGAAAATAATGTCTATGATTGTATGCAATATATACATTTGGTCGATTAATATCAATATAATTGCATTATAATAGGAACAAAAGTATTAATTTTTACAAAAATATATTTTTCCCTATTTATTTAAAAATTAGATAACCAGCCAATAAATTTATCTCACTACCTTTAAAGGCGCTTACCCTACCTCCCCCCTTTTCCTTAAAAAATTGCAAATTGTTTCACCGCTCATGTAGGCGCTGGCGTTCATAACTTCTTCATCGCTTCTTTTTTTTTCGAATTTCATATATTTCTTAAAAAATTGGAAAAAACATATTTTATTATATTGTATTATATAATTATTTTTATTTATTTTTTTTAATTAAAATAATTCAAACCTATTTTTTAATTGATTCCTTCATTTATATTTTAAATTTTAGTTGCTATAATTTGAATCAAATAAAATTGAATCAATCTAAGTGTTAATTTATATTCTTATTCTCTAATATGATAATTTATTTTATAAAAAATATTATATAAATTGTACATTTTCTTCAGATGAAGGTAAATTAAGCCTGTTCTGGCTCCATTGTGAATCACTTTTTAGACCAATAAAGAAAACTAAGGGTACAAAAATTATAATTTATAAATGTAAATTGCGTCCCAACTTAAATATTATTTTAACCTCAATTGTGTAATAAACGTGGGCACAAACTGTGCAGCTATTAATAAGGAAAAAAATGAGATGATGTCTGATTAAACTTGTTATAACAAAATGGAACTCTTTTTATAACTCCGTGAAATTAATAGAATAGATAGCTTTATTAAGAAGAATGGCAAAACAAATTACAGAGATTTTTAAATAATGAAAAGTCGTACATATAAATATAATGAATGAATATATATATGACTTTATAAGTTATGGAACCTGTTCCTAATGGCTCTATCGATTCAAGAGAGAGATGAAAAAATAGATTTAGGAAATCACACTAATATTAAAAATTAAAGGGTTTTAAATAATTTCATTTTGTAAGCCACTTATTAATGCAATATTGCAAGACAAAGATAAAAGTATAAATTTTGTTATTTTGATAATATATTATAATAGGTGCGAATATATCTATAAATACTAAATAAATATGAATATATATTATCTGTAATTCACCTGCTAGTTAAATCAGATTAGTCCTGGTAAAATTATTTGTCAAAGAAGGAAAGAAGCTGGAACATATTCTTGACAAAAAAAGACAGACTTGATTCTTCAAAATATCACACGTATAATAAAACGACTACGACTACTTATTAGTTATTTTTATTTAAATATAATCACATCAAATTTATTAATTAATTTCGAATGTTCCCTTCTATTTTTTATATAATATCTATAAATAATATTTTAAAATAATTTATTACATTTCCTTCACACATTTTAAAATTAGATTTCCTCAATAAACCTCTTTATAAGTTTACGGTTTCTTGATGAACAATATAATGTGGTATTTGTTTCATTCACTGGCACAATCATTTCTGTAACTTCCGAAGAACTTTCATGATTTAAAATAACTAAACGATTTCTTAACTGATCTGCATGTTTTCGTAATGTTTTCCAGGAAGTTTCAACAATATAAGAATAAAGTCCTATTCTTTCTTTAATTACTCCCTCTCTCCAACTATTGGTATTCTCATTATTTAGCCACACAAGTTGTGAGATTTCAAATTCTCTTTCTTTTGAAAGTAAATTATGATGATGGCTTTGTCTATTGGCCTTTTCTATTTCATGTTTAGCATTTGGTCGGATGCAATCCAGACTTGTTTTCAATTGCCTACCAAACATAATTTTGGCAGGAGATCTCCCTGTGGAGCTATGCTCTCCCAATCGGTAGGTTGTTAAAACTGTGTCATAGCTTCTTCGGGATCGCTAATCGAATCTCTCGTCGCATAATACCGACCTTTCAAAGTTCGTATTGTACGTTCAGCTAATCCATTAGATTTTGAATGATAGAGTGCCGAACGTATATGACGTATGTTATTCAAATTACAATACCTATGGAATTCCTCAGATAAGAATTGTGGTCAATTGTCTGACACAATGTACTTGGATATTCCAAACCTAGCAAACCAATTTTTAATCGTTTTATCATAGCATCAGCAGAGGTATTCTGCATTAGATCAACTTCTAACCATTTGGGAGAAGGAATCGACACCAATTAGCCAATATCGCGAATCTACTGGTCCAGCAAAATCAATATGGATTCGCTCGATTCCTTACCAGCAGTCCAAGATAGAGGTACTTCTTGAATACTAGGTCTATTTTTCTGGCATCCAGAGCATATTTTGATAAAATTTTATATATCAACATCACATCTGGGCAGTGGCGTAGCTACGGGAAGGGGGGGGGTTCGGGTTTGGACCCCCCCCAGAGCAATTAATTTTTTTTTAGAATATTCGTTTAAAAGACTCAAAAGTGACTTTATATCAAATAAATACCATGAATATTTAAATTTTTCTGGTTTTGATGTTTGTGGAAGGATATTATTACTTTTAATTTTAAATATATATATATATATATTATTCTGTATATTATTTTAAAGTCATTGATAATAATCTATTAATTTTAATAATATATTATTGATGCATTTTTAAAAAAATATTTATTATAAATTATCCAAGATATGGTTCGAAAATAATAATATGAAATAAAAAAGTGCATAATCTACCCCCCCCCCCCCTCAAAGCAATTTTTTTTAGATTATTCGTTCAAAAGATTCAAAAGTGACTTTATATCAAATAAATACCATCAATATTTATATTTTTCTGGTTTTGATGTTTGTGGAAGGATATTATTACTTTTATATATATAAAAATTATTCTGTATATTATTTTAAAGTCATTGATAATAATCTAATAAATTATAATAATATATTATTTATGCATATTTAAAAAAATATTTATTATAAATTATCCAAGATATGGTTCGAAAATAATAATATGAAATAAAAAAGTGCATAATCTACCCCCCCCCCCCCCCCTCAGAGCAATTTTTTTTAGATTATTCGTTCAAAAGACTCAAAAGTGACTTTATATCAAATAAATACCATGAATATTTATATTTTTCTGGTTTTGATGTTTGTGGAAGGATATTATTACTTATATATATATATAAATTATTCTGTATATTATTTTAAAGTCATTGATAATAATCTAATAAATTATAATAATATATTATTTATGCATATTTAAAAAAATATTTATTATAATTTATCGAAGATATGGTTCGAAAATAATAATATGAAATAAAATAGTGCATAATCTACTTTCTCATGCTTTTGAGGTTAAAAAATATATAATCCAGTGTACTAATTAATATCTTATGCATTATAGGCTCTATTGAAAATAATAAGGATGATGTAAATACACCAGGTCAAAATAACATTTAATATAAAAAATATTTAAAATTAATAGCTAACTATTTTTATTTTAGAATTTAAAATTATACACCTAGTCATAGTTTTAACTAAATTAAAATTGCCAGTACAAACCACTTTGGGTAATTTATTATTTTAAATAATTTTGGCTAACCAAAATATTTTGACATTTATAAGATATACCCAAACGTAGGAGGGAAGAAAATGATCTTGATACACTCATTTATATACCCAAAGACCATATAAAATCACTACCTAGTACAAGTAATATAATCTATTAAGATTTAAATATTTTTTATTATAGATTTAGATATATCAAGTATTACATTTAATAAAAATGATGATAGTCAACAAAATGAACACACCAAATCACTAATTAAAATAGAAAATCAAAATTTTAATGATGAACTTGATACCATAAGCAACAATTTACCACCCACATCAGGTATTTTATAATGACCTTATTTAAATGAATCACTAATTAATATAGAAAATCAAAATTTTAATTATGAACTTGATACCATAAGCAACAATTTACCACCCACATCAGGTATTTTATAATGACCTTATTTAAATGAATCACCAATTAATATAGAAAATCAGAATTTTAATGATGAACTTGATACCATAAGCAACAATTTACCACTCACCTCAGGTATTTTATGAACTTATATGACCTTATTTAAATGTATTCATTTAAATTTTAGAAATACCTAGATACTCTATAAAAAATTATGATAAAAATAAGCTAAATACACTTGATCACTTCAAATCTCTACCTAGTAAAAGTAATGTTAACTATTACCTTTAAATATTTATATCATAATTTTAGGTATATCAAGTATCACATTGAAGAAGAATGATAGTAGTCAACAAAATATTATAGGCTGTATCAATTTAGAATTTAAAGGTTATCTAATATGTTGTTTTATTTTAATTTATTTTTATAGGAATATCTCAATTAATATTCACACCAAGGGGTAAAAAAAATAGTGATAACAAACATAAAAATACACTAAGTCACAACAAATCACTATCTAATAAATGTAATGTAATCAATTACTTATTAATATTTACATTAAAATTTTAGATATATCTAAAAAATCTAGGGAGAATTTAAATGGAAATGAAGTTCCACTCATGTCAGGTATTAGTCTTATTTAAATTATATTTATTTAAAATCTTAGCAATTCCCACATACTCCAGAAAACTAAAGGATAATAGACAACCAATTATACTAGATCATTTAGAACCATCACCTACTACAAGTGATATAGTCTATTACTTTATACTTATAATAATCAGAAGTTGGTTCCAAAGCTAACATGTCATCTATGATTATTAGCCTAGGTTTCTCAATATTAATTTTAAACATCTATCATATATTGGTAAAAAAATATTGCCAACACAATTTTGATTTTTTCACTTTGAAGGATATCGACTTAAATTTACAGTTTAAAAAAAACATTTATTTTTTAATCTATATTTTTAATGTGTTTACTAATTATAAAATATATCATTTATAATTAAGGCAATATAATATTTATAATTAAAGCATTTATATGTGTAATACTAATATTTATAATTAAGGCAATATAATATTTATAATTAAACAATATAATATTTATAATTAAAGCAATATAATATTTATAGTTAAAGCAATATAATATTTATATTTAAATCAATATAATATTTATATTTTAAATAATCGCTTTTTATTTGTAAATAACTTCTAAAAGTATAATAAAATGAAACGTATATCAATAAAATTGTGTCAATGTGTTATTTTAATTAAAATTATGTCAATGTGTTATCTTAATTAAAATTAGTGGTTAATGGCTCAATTTTAGCCGATACAGTTAACTCAATATATTAGCCAGAAAATTTTGCTCATGGAGATACAAGTTTTATATTATTCGAGAAATCTCTAGGCTTGAACAATATTTTTTGGCAAAAATATTGAGTTAGCTGTTTATAAAAATCAGCTCAAATCGAGCCGTTTAACAACACTAATTAAAATAATTAATAATTCTAGGACTATAAGAAAAACCAATATGATTTTTAAAATAAGGGCCGAAGGCCCGTTAAAGGGAGGGCTGGGGGGGCGAAGCCCCCCAGGCTTTTATATGTGGACCCCCTCTAAAGAAAATTCCTAGCTACGCCACTGCATCTGGGCTACCAACAATAAAAACTAAAAATAGATTTCATTACATTTTCCCCAGGATGTCCCCGGTGAATCATTTCTAACACTGCATTTCTTAATTTATTAGGAATAATCAATTTCCCATTCCATTCTATAATATCACGATCGACAAAAAGCTCTTTCCGTCGAAGATTTACTCATTAGTCAAGGTATTATGATATGTTATTTATAAATATTTATTTTTAAAAATTAACTATTTCTTTATCTTTATGACGATCAAAGTTTTGCCAACTTTGCTGAATATGTATTGCTACTTTTTTAATATTAAATCTTGCTTTGACTCTTTTCGTAGAATATTTTTGGACAATTGCATATCATCCAAAGTAATACTTCGAATATCCAAAGCATGTTTAGAATCTTGATTCACTTCCGTGTCTAATATCGGAAGCCTTGATAATGCGTCGGCGATTACATTTTTATTACCTGGTCTATATTCTATTGTAAAATTATAAGAAGCCATCTTTTAAGGCCCAACGTGTCAGATTATTAGAAATTTTAGGTAAATCGCGTTTCTCCCCAAATAATCGCTCTAATGGTTTATGATTAGTTCGAAGTAAAAATTTTCTACCATAAATAAATGAATGAATGAAATTTTTCAATAAAAGTGCTCGAGCTTTTTTATCAATCGGAGTGTAGTGTTTCTCTGATTCTAATAAAGTACGTGATGCGAATGAAATAGGTTTTGTCCTTCCGTCTACTAATTGATGTAACAACACAGCCCCTTATCATGAATCATATGCGTCACATTCCAATATTATAGGCAACTGCGCGTTATAAGAAATTAACGTTTCCTCGGATGACAATAATTTCTTAATCTCATCGAAGGAATTTTGTTAATCTTTCGTCCACCGCTAAGGTACTTTCACGCTCGTTAATCTATGTAATAGCGCCGCTTTACAATGTAGATTACGAATAAAATATTCATGATAATTCACGAGTCCTAGAAAAAATCTAAGTTGTATATTTTTAGGTTATGGTGCATTTCGGATAGCCTTCACCTTTTCTGGGTTAGGATGTATACCGAATTTATCAATAATCACCACTAAAGTGAAACCGATTTTTGTAAAAATCTCACTTTTGTCAATTTCGCTTTAAGACCTGCCGTCTGTAATCTGTCTAACACGATTCGCAAATTACTTATGTGCTCCTCATCATTTCGACCAGAAATAATTACGTCATCTAAGTAGACACCAGTCATTTGGCAATCTTTTAGCAACTCATCTATTATCTCTGGAATATAGTAGGTGCACTAGCCAATCCAAAAGGCAATCGTCAATAACGGAAATACCCATTATGAGTCACTATCGTAAGTAATTTCTGAGATTCATATTCTACTTCCATCTGTAAATACGCATCTTTCAGATCTATCACGGGAAATTTATCACCACCTTGGATTTTCTCTAATAAATCATCTAAGGTAGGAATAACATGATTATCATACAATAAACACGGATTGAGTGTAACTTTGAAATTAGCACAAATTCGAATATCGCCATTACTCTTGCGTATTTACGGTTGGCGTTGACCATTGTACCCTAGTTATAGTCGAATCAATCTTTTGCAGCCACTAGTCGGTCTAATTCCATTTATATTGCTTTGTGAAGTGGAAATGTTACCCTACGGGCTGGAAACGATTTTGGTGCAGCGGTATCCTTAAATGTATTCGCACTGCAAAATCACTTATGTTCCATATTATCAAAAATTTATTGATGTTTATTAATCAAATCTCGAATTCTAGAACCTAGTGTTATGCAACATTTTTCTTTTTCAATAGTGTTCACCAAATTGCGTAATTGTTTAATCATAATCTGACGAGGCATTTCTAAATTGAATGCTATAATCCATGGTAATCCGAAAAGAGGCATCCCAGTTGTATTCATTATTACCACTTGTAAGGTCCTTGTCTGTGATCTAATATTAACATTGACTTGGGTCTCGCCCTTAATGTCTAACGGATGATCACCATATGCAGTCAATGGAGGTTAATGATGCTTGGTACCTTAAGGTACCATCTATCAAATTTGAATTTTGTTTATTTTCATTTGGATAGGCACTACCAAATATACTTATAATATATATTTGAAAAATCGTTATTTTTGGAAAGCCTCTATGGCCTAGTCGGTTAGAGCTTCGCTTACTCATCCCATGGTCACGGGTTCGAATCCCGATAATAATTATGTTTTTTTTCTTATTCTAACTTGGTGGTTCCATCCTTGGGGGTATGATATATAGGAGGCCGGACTCGACCACGTGATTCCATATTAATATATTAAATAATAAGTCTTATTACATTTAATAAATTTTGGTCGGTATTTAGCAAATTATGTTGGTATTTAGAATATTTCCATACATTCACTTGGTAGTAAGCATCATTAACCGTCAATGAACTGGTTGGCCTAAATTTTGGTCGTCCAATACTTGTTCATATATCAAAATTCCTATCAATGTACACTGCACCAGTGTCAAAATCAAATTCAACATCTAACCCATTTATTTCTGCAGTTAGTTTTGCTAGATTCTCTCGATTTTTTTGAATCTTTCATATATTAAAATAGAATCACTTGCTGACACTCTTATATAATTTAAATTCTTTGATTTACAGCAAACTGCAAAATGACCAATTGCATTTATTACATGCCGCATTTATAGCTGGACATCTCACTTCTCGGTTATGAATAAAACCACATTTATAACATTTAAGTTTATTATAATCTTTATCATTATTATATTTGTATATATTATTCTCTTTATCAAATGTATTATTATACTTGACTTTATTATAGTATTATTTCTTTTGTTATTATAAAATATCTTATTAACAACAGGCATATTTTTATTTGCCATTTCTTTATCTGCTCGCTCAGAAGCTAATGCCAGATAAAAAATAAATTGGAAAGTCAATACATTATTATCTCTATCAAGACCGTCGGGATATAGAGCTCTAAGATCTCTTTACAATCCCAGTATTTCCATGCCAACCATAAACTGAGCACGTAAACCCCCTTCATTGTTCTAATTTAAGTAGCAAATTCAGTTATGGTTTCAGTTGTTCTCCGTAATTTAATGAAATCAAATCTAGGAGCAAAAACTGTTGACGTCGGTTTAAATAATTTAAAACATATTGACTTAATTTCCTTAAAAGATAAAGTTTCGATCGAATCAGGATAACAAAAATAGTCCACCAACTCAATATTCTTATTGCCAAAAAATGTTAAAAATATATCTATATATTGACATTCAGATGGGCTTACGTTTTTTACCGAAAACTGGCTTCCCATTGAGAAAAATATCTAGAAATTGAAGTATCGTTATCAAATTTAATCGTAGAAAAATCCGCCAATTTTTTTGAATCGCCATTTAAGGAATTATTTTCTCCGTTTATGGAATTATTTTCTCCATTTAAAGAATTATTTTCTCCATTCGTCGCCATTTATAATGAAACGGCTACGATTATTTATTAGTTATTTTTATTTTAAAATAATCACATCTAATTTATTAATTAATTAATTCGAATGTTCCATTCTATTTTTTATATAATATCTATAAATATTTTAAAATAATTTATTACAACACGTACATATTATTCTGATAATGATTTTAAAAAAATGGATGAGGAACTGAATGAAGATTCTTTTAATAAAGTTCATTCATTAATTTTTATAAATTCGCTTAATACAACCCTCCCATCCTCTGCCCCCGTTAAATGTATGTTTAGCACAGCGAAAGCTGATTGAGCACTGTTTTTGGTTACCTGATCCAAATTTAAAAAATCAATTCTTGTTAAAAATAAATAAAAAATTATTACAAAAATATTTTATTGATAACCCCAGCAGCCAAATATATGCATCCTACCCTATAAATTTTCGAAGCAAGATGCTCTTCTTAACACCCCTCCCCCCTCAAGTAACCACTGTACCTGACCTATAAAAATATTTTGTAAATTTTGTGTGTCCCATATATCTTTTTGTTTTAGGTTGCTGTACCAATCTCTACTACTAATAAAATTAATAGAAAAGAGATATCAATGAAACTCACTGAACTAAATATATTATCGATCTTTAGATGTATCCTGGTTCCAAGTATCTTCAAAATTCTTTTTTA